GAGAAAATAGATATGAAACTAAACGAACTTAGAGATCTCAGATATCGCATACGGGTATCCCATTGCATGCTCGAGGAAATGGCTCTGGGGTTCCGTTACTGATGTTGGAGATATGAAGAAAGTTGGTTGACACAGGCTACCTGGATAAGGCAGCTAAAAGCGCGAGAAGTAAATACCAGGAAACACCAAATTGAACAGCAAACGCTGAAATTTAATATATTCTCATAATGTAACTACTATACATAACTTACATATTTATCTATTACACACTCCCAATCCTAAAAATGCAAGAATTAAATTAAAAAAAACGCCGGAAACCAAATAATAACCAGATTGAGAAACAGCGGAATACGCCCATATATTCGCTCAAATATATTACCAACTCGCCTTCCTGACACCTGGAAGTTTTCCAGCAAGGGCTTGCATACGGAATTGGAACTGTGCAAAGTGAATCGTCCGTCAGCACATGGCAGCCAAGACAGAAGTGCAAACATGAATTTGGAAATATTGAGCACTCACCCTTCCCAGTCTGAAATCTCTGAAAACACCCCTCGCTATGCCTCCGGCCGTACATCTGTTCTTGATCTGTGTGGGATTGGTGTAACAGTGCATTTGGGAGAGCTTGAGTTGGGCTTGGGCGCGGACACGCATGGGGAGAGAGGTGTTGCGGACGAGGTAGCGGAGAGCTTGTCTAGAGAGTGTTGGTAGAGGTTAGCAAGTTGAGTTCGCCTTTCATAATATACATTGCTTTGGATATTACAGTGATAAAGGAATTGTAGATCGTAGGGCGATCGGGTATTTCATTACCTTTCAGGTTCAAATTGTTTGAAGACTTGTCGCTTTGTGTGATCCCTGATGATGCGCGGGTTGATGAACCCGGCAATGTCCAGCTTTTTGGCGCGAAACTGAGACATATTAGTTCGCAGGGAAAAGCTCCCGCTGTTTCCTTGTCTTGAGAGTTGCGAAGAGTGATGGCTGTGGTGGAGGATGGGTTTGATATATCAGTTCATCGGCGAAATCTGGATGTGGACCAAATCGGGTTATTGTGGCGGACGTAAAGCTTGCGAAAACAGAATTTTCTGCCACCCCCTGAAAAATAGTAGAACAACACCGCAAAAATAATCAAAATATCCACATATCTCTAGAATCATTCAAATATCATTCAATTCATTCAAATACACACCTTTATCATCAAATACGCATCTTTATCATCAAATCTGCCAATATGCCCCGCAACACCCACCGTTCTACTGCCTCGCAAGCTCGTAAAAGGACTCCAACTACCCTGCGCCTTCGTCTGTCCAAACCGCCTGTTCCGGATGTTCTGGATAATGACGAGAATCCAACTGATGATGAGAAGGAGGATAAGGAGGAGGAGGAGGAGGAGGAGGAGGAGGAGGGAGATCGGTTCAGAAGATCCTCGATTTCTGTGAACACCTACCCCTGAGCCTGAGATCTCATTCAGGCTGTATGAACGGGTGATTATCAATGGGATAAAGGAGCCTATAAAGATCAAGTTATGGAATGTCACAACAAATGATATGACTGTCAGCTTCTATCGTATCCAATATCTCTCTCAACTCCTTCTTCATCTAATATTGTGTCTCCAAGTGAGATAATCAATGTGATGGTGATGAAATATATGATGGAAGGAATGGGAGGCATGGGAGGACTGAATTCAAACTTGTCATCGAATTCAAACTTGCCATCAAATTCAAACTTGCCATCGAATCCGAACCTGCCATCGAATCCGAACCTGCCATCGAATCCGAACCTGCCATTGAATCCGAACCTGCCATCGAATCCGAACCTGCCTCCTATTCGAAGTAGTCCAATCCCTCAGTTTGGTGAACACGCGGATCTGTTTATTGATGAGTTCTTCAACTGGTTGATGACAGAGAGACCTCGAAGAGCAGAAGCTCTTTTAACTGCAAAGAGCATTATTCAGAATGAAGGATTTGAACTGGATCATATACGGACAATGACAAATGAGCAGGTGGTTCAGTTGAATATTGGAATGGGTATATTCTCGATAATAAGAAATGGGTTAAAGAGTCCTATCTGGCAGTCACAGTTGAAGGAGATTAAATTGTCTTTATCTGCTGTTTGTAATGATGACAGCAGACCTCATACTGCTTCTGCTTCTGAATTTGAAACTTAGATATTATATATCATCATAATTGAATTGCAATCTGAATCTTTTTAAATTTTACAATACTATCCTATATGAGCAGATCTGAAATATCCTCTTGCATCTTCTTCTCCCATGAAATTCTCAACTGCATGATGCAAGAAGGCTTCAAAATCCCCATCAAACTGATTCTCTAACTGACATCTGTATCTTCTAATCCATTCTTTCAACGCGTGAAATGACTCCTCTATAGGATTATAATCAGGAGAATATGGAGGTAAGAATAAAAGTCCAATGCCAGCTTCTCTGCAGAGATCTCGCAGTGCTTGTGAACGATGAGAAGAGCAATTATCCATCACTAAGTAGTGATAACCTCGTTGGCATTTGGGCAGTATCCCGGACACGT